GCGGCCGTAGACGCTAATCCAACTAATTAGTTGATTAAACGCCGCTGTTAAAGCGAGGGGGAATTATTCAAACTATTCAAACGCTTAAGGGATTATTTAAAATAGTTGTATAGTTCTGTGAACACCGTGTCTAATTTAAACACATTTTGTGTAATAGAATGGACATTTCATTTTGATGGTTCTAATATATTTTTAGAATATTAAAGTATGAATGATTACTGGCATAATTTTACAATCACAACAATATAGACTGCTCATCTCCTTTATAACGATTTTTAATTTGAAAACGATCTGTAGTTTTCTGTGTTCTCGCCTACCTTTAAGCACTTAACCATCTTCTCCGCCTCTGCACTATAACTCGACTGATCTGTAACTGAATTGCTTCCGCAAGATCATGTCCATCTGTCCAGTAGACAGCTTCATTGTCCATCTGTCCATGAAACGCTGACCACTCAAACTTCTTAAGTTGCAAAAGGCAGCGCGCGCCATAATTATTATAAATTAAGTTTAAATGATTTATGACAGCCAGCAGAGCACGCTTACAACGCTCCCAGCGACGGAACTAACTCCTCAGGTGCACTGAAAAAAATATATATTAGTCACTAAAAATATATATAAAAAAAATACAAATAATTATAAATGTATATTAGAAATAATCCAAAAAAAGAACAATGTAAATATCTAAACATATAGAAGATAAGCTAGACTCAAATGGACGAAAGAAAACAATTTGAAATTATATAAAACCTGAAGAGCTGAAGACTGTTAGCATTTAGTTTACAATTAATTGTTAGCATTATATAAATAAATAATTAAATATTCATTAAAATATCAATCAAAAAATTAATAATGAATGTATAATAAATTAATCCACTCAGATAAACCAATAAATTACTAGGGCATTTCTTATTGGTAAGCAATGATTCACTAAATATAAATACGATTTTGATCTTTGAATATACAAGTGTTTCTCTGTGTGGTAGACCCTTTGTCTAAAGTTCCGTCGGAAGTGGAGGCTTACTTTTAACACCGTAACAATGACCGCAGTGGTAACCCGAACCCGAAAACCAAAGTGACGAAGTTGATGAAAATCGTCTCAGTAGGGCCCATGGGGGCATAATGGTTCCGAAACAATGAATTCGATGTTTACGCTGCTCCTCTGTCAACTTCGGTGCTCTATTGTGGCGCTAATCATTCGTATAAACATCGCGCTACAGATACAGATTCGGAGGCATACAGATACAGAGACATTTACCGATACAAAGAATGCCGTGAGGCTAGCGGAGTTATATCGATTTAAATGATAATAATTGGCCTCTAGAGCCATGGACATGGACGGTTTCGATCTGTTTTAGAATTTTGACTATAAATAAACCGCTGTCGATGCAAACAGTCAATCATTTGTGTTTTAAGAGCTCAAGGTGTCAGACATAACATAACGGACATGGTGAGTGTGGTCAGTTTGGGGATAAAACAGTCCGAATTTAATAGGGGTTTTTTAACTATTTTAGAAGTTCTTCATTTTGGCAACCTGCCTACTGGCTCTCGCAGCTGGAGATGTATCCCATTTGCCACTGGAAGTCCTGAAGCAGCATCACGAGCATGGCTATGGCTATGATTACCCCAAGCCGGAGGTTCCATTTGTGATTACTTCTACGACGGAGCCACCACCGCCGCCACCACCGACTTATCTGCCTCCCAAGCCGGTTCCCACTTACCTGCCTCCTCCACCACCGACTACTACCACTACTACTACCACCACCACCACCACAACTACTCCACCTCCCACCCCTGCTCCAACCTACCTGCCTCCCCCACCACCCACTACCACCACCACCACTACAACCACTCCTGCTCCCACTCCCGCTCCCACCTACCTTCCTCCTCCACCACCACCCCCACCACGCACCACCACCACCACCACTACAACGACGACGACTCCACCACCCACGCCGGTGCCCACCTACCTGCCACCCCCTCCACCCCAACCGGAACCGGAACCGGGTTACCATTACGATGCGCCCGCCCAAGAGTTCATCTTCTAAGCGAAAACAAAAAGAAAGCACTGCACCACCGAACTGAAAGTGGAAGATTTCCCCCGGATTTGAATTTGTTTGAATCGTTCCACTAGGCTTAGGTTTATATAAAGTTAAAACTATCTCAATAAATGCTGTTTTGTTAACCCCATTAGCATTGGTATAGAAATCTCCCCAAAATATATAGATTTAAGTGGGGACAAACTGGTGCAGCAGATGTCCAAGTCAATCACCGTCAATTGTCTGGGATTTCGACGCATCCGCTGCATATTCATGAGCTGCTTTGTTGTGGAGAGCTAATTCAGCCGAAATCGCATTAATTGCTTGGGCTAGGAAGAGATACACCACACGCCGATAATTGGCCGGCTCAAGTTCATGAAAACCAAGAAAAGTGAGAAGAAAACCAAAGAGCCAGCTGGCTGATCTTCGTATAAAAGCGTTGACCATCGACGTTATTGACATTACTATCTGTTGTCGGCAAACGGCAGCAACATCATCAACTCAATCAGTGGATAATCTCTAGGAGGAAATGGTAAAGCTCATTGCGGTTATCTCCTTTGGCAGTGATTTATTTTCCGATCTTTATTTAGAGACCCATGCTGATCCTTGTGGCCCTGGCAGGCTTTGGCCTCTGCGTCCGGGCAGATGTCTCCCACCTGTACGGAGGTGGTCACCATGATCACGGCTATGAACGTGATCATCATCACCACCACGATCACGATCACGACCACGATCACCACCACTACGATGCCCACTCCCACAGTCACCATGATCTGTCGCACGATCACCGTGATCTACACATCGATCTGCACTATCAGCCGGATCACCATCATCATCACCACCACCAGGCCAAGTCCGCTGTCTCCGGTGGATACAGCTATGGAGCTCCGGAGAAGCCGCGCCAGAAGTACCTGCCCCCCAAGGTGGCCCTGCCACCACCACCTCCTCCTCCACCCAAGGCCACCTACCTACCTCCCTCGAAGCCCGAGGTGAAGTACCTGCCCCCCGAACCGGTTGCCAAATATCTACCTCCTAAGGTCGCTCCCAGCCTGCCACCACCACCTCCACCACCAGTTGTGGCTCCCAAGCCCACCTATCTGCCTCCCAGTCAGCCGGAGACCAAGTATCTGCCCCCTCCTACGCCCGAGGTGAAGTACCTGCCTCCTGCCCCAGTGGCCAGGTATCTGCCTCCCAAAGTGGCGCCCAGTCTGCCTCCTCCACCACCACCCCCACCAGTGGCTCCCAAGAAGGCTTACCTGCCTCCTGCCGAGCCAGAGATTAAGTATCTGCCACCCTCGAAGCCGGTGGATAAGTATCTTCCCCCCGCAAATCCAGTGGAGAAGTATCTGCCACCCAAGCCAGAAGTGGATTTCCACATCCCGATTCCATCCTACGCCCTACCCCTGGGTCCTGCCCCAAGTCCCATCCAGGATGCCGATCCAGGCTACCACTACAAGCCACCACTACGTCGTTTCAGGCAATAGGATAATAATAGCCTAACCTAACCACCGGAGAAAAAATAACACACACAATAACCAAACAAATCTCATAAAACACTGCATCTAGATTTAAGCTGTACAAATTAAAAGCATATAAACCACAAAACGAAATGGATCAGTCAATATTGCAACATCAAACGAACTCAAACTCTTTCCCCATCCTCAAGGTCACAGATATCGAACCCAAATTGCTGTCACCCTGCCCCGAGGGATCCATGGATTTCCATCTGACCCCCAAATCTAATTGCAGCCAATCAACCGAAGTAGCCAAACAGCTTCGATTTTAGCTTTAGTTTGGCTCAATCATCACCTGCAGTGTCTATAATTACTATCTTTTCGGGTGAAAAATGATGTTAGTCTTCGGAATTGATCGGTGTCTGCAGGTTTGTTACAGAAAGATTCGATCCGAAACCAAATCGCTAATCGTCAATGGGGCGACAGTTGACCTCTTTCAATGTGGCTTGGAGACAGAGATGGGGCAAGTCTTTTAGAGGCTGTATCAAAAGAGTTTACTAAATTGATTAATCAAACCCTTGACGAATCAAACCCAGATCCTCCATCGAAAAGGGGTTTTAGTTCGCTCTATAAAATATTTACATTTGTATTTAATTTGTTTCGTAAAATTTACCAACACGTATGTTTATGTAACTATACCAAATAGTTTACTGCTGTTATAAACGATAAAATGTATTTTGATGTTCCTTAGATCTATAATTAATAGTAAAACTACTGTAAAATTGTAACGAGCGTGTATATTTATGTTGTGGGAGCACTAACAAATTCCATTTGACAAAAGGGTTTTTGTATGCTTACATATTTGTTTCATAGTTTAGTCCTTTAAAGAAAAAATGTAATTGGTTCCATTGAAAAAGAGCTAAAGGAATGTCAGGATGAACATTTATAAATTTACTATTGTATTGAAAGAGGTTCCGCAAAAAGTCTTACTAAAATGATTTATACAAGATCATTATTTCTAAAATGGACATAAACAATATTAAACGTTTGACTCTATTAAATACATTTTAACTTCAAAAGTACATTCAACTATTAATCCCAATCATTGCCTAACCAAAACTATTTTAAATACTTGGCAAACGCAGCGGAGATCGTAAAACCCAACACGTTTATGGCTCCCAGCCATAAAGAGCTCTCTGTCCGGGCCAAAAAACAAAAGCCAACGCAACGAGATGACTTCGAATTAAGAGATTTAATAAAAATTGAATGGCAATTCCAAATACCGGCTGTCAAAGGGGCGAGACCCCTAAACGCCTCTTGGCTGACAGCCCAGCCCGGCCATATAGATATAGTCAGATCGCAGTCAGATCGTCTCTCGCGGCGTCGGCGTTGGTTAGACATAATAACAACGCGACGAGATCGCTTTATGGCGACCACTGTTTCGGGTTCAGGTTCTCTAACTGTATAAATAAAGAAGCACTTGCCGGAAACTGTATCACTTTGGTAGAGGCCGTCGTCGCAGCAAGAACGTTCCAGCAGAAACATGGTTTGTGATCTGCTCTGCTCCTCAGGGATAATCACCAGGGATTCTAATATGGATTTATTTTATATTCCAGAAAGTCCTTATCCTGGCTGTTTGCAGCTTGGCTCTGGTAGCCGCCGATGTCTCACATTTGTTCGGTCATGAACACCATGATCACCACGATCATCCTGGCTACAACTATGACCCACCGAGCATCCCCTTCGACCTGCCCACTCCGGCTCCGGCTTATCTACCCCCGGAACCTGTGACAGCTCGTGTGGCTCCTGTGACCTTGCCACCTCCAGTTTATCTGCCTCCTGCGACCGTGAAGCCAGTGGTTCCGATTGTCAGGACCCCGCAGCCAGCTTACCTGCCTCCTCCACCACCAGTTGTGAAGGTCAACCCTCCCAAGCCCGCCTATCTGCCTCCTCCACCACCAGTGGTGAAGGTCAACCCACCGAAGCCCGCGTATCTGCCTCCTCCACCACCAGTGGTCAAGGTCAACCCACCCAAGCCCGCCTATCTGCCACCCCCACCACCAGTTGTGAAGGTCAACCCACCCAAGCCCGCTTACCTGCCTCCTCCACCACCAGTGGTGAAGGTCAACCCACCCAAGCCCGCCTATCTGCCTCCTCCACCACCGGTGGTCAAGGTCAACCCACCCAAGCCCGCCTATCTGCCTCCTCCACCACCGGTGGTCAAGGTCAACCCACCCAAGCCCGCCTATCTGCCCCCTGCACCCGTGGTGGAGGAGCCCCGCTATGTGGCACCTGTCGTAGTGCCCACCTTCAAGATCCCCATCCCATCGTACGCCGCTCCCCTGGAGGAACCCGTCAGCACCTATCTGCCGCCCCAGGAGATCGTGGAGCCAAAGGATGATGGATACCACTATGATCCCCCAGCCGAACCGTTCCTTTTCTAAATATCACCCATCCTCAGCCATTTATTAATTGTTGTCCTCGAATGTCACGTGTATTTACCTATAGTTATTTATTGTTTACCCAGCTCAGCCTGCACTAAAAACGAAATAAAGCTTAGCACTGCGAAAACTAAATTCCCATGAGTCTTATATTGTATCCTGTTCTGATCTTGAACTTGAGGGGGGGAAATCCCTATCCTAAATATATGCACACGTGAAATCCCATGTGTGTTATTTTATATCCCGTTCTGATCTTGAACTTGAGGGTGGGAAAATCCTATCCCAAAGAGATGCCAAGACCAAGTCCACGAACTCATTTCAAGTGCCACGATAGACAGCATAATTGCCCCTGGAGTGCTAAAAATACGTATCTCTAAGCGAACAGCAGAACAGTTTCATTCATGGACAATCCAGTTGTGGTTATTTTGGGAACTAGACTGAGTAATGCTCTTTGGCCAATTCCGGCTTGATTTATTGACATACCAAACAAACCCAGCTTTGAGTAATTGAACTTAGAAGCCATAACACGGTCATAAGCTCTAATTTTATGGGCCGAATTGTGGCTGAGCTTCAATAAATGGGTCTCTTATAATTTATAATACCACCTTAATTGCTTAAAGACAATCGCTGGCATTGTTTAGAAGGTGTGAAGATACACCTCCGAGACCCCCGTAGTTTCGTTCAGTCCGCCCACGATGCTGTGAAAGTGAAATTAATGCGATCAGGAAGTTGCAGATATTTTTGGGGCTTCCATCAACGGAAAAGAACACTCGCAGAGTTTTTGTTGACAAAATGAATTGCTTTATGCAAATCAACTCCATGATCTAATGGCTGGGAACCCGTTCTTCTTTCTGTCAGCAAATGCAAATTAATTAGATTATTACGTTTATCTTCGGTTGAACGCCAAACAATGATTTACTTAAGAGTTTTTATTAACGGTTGTTGCTCTTAGTAGCGCCGTTTAAATAAACACGGCCCATAAATTATGTACCACATCATTGATTTTAGAAAGCAAAACTGATGACCCCAGTCGAACAGGCGGTCTAGCCTGTTTCTTATACGCCACTAATGGAACCAACTATATGTTTCCTTATTTTTTGGCACGATCAGTTTGCTGATGCATTAAAGTCAAAATGCTAATTGGATGTGTGATTATATCGTATCGTTCTAGAAGTAGACATAGATCATAACTTTATTGATATTTTGGGCTCGCGTGTGCACACAGTGCGTATGATTAATATCATGCAGTTGGTGATTAAATTCATTTATATTAACACAAGTAAAATTTGTAAAGTAAGACTTAACAAATTCAAGTTCAGGCGGTTATTAAACTTTACCTACACGAAAACCAGATCAAACAATCATCAATAAACTTTATTTACGCTTAACGCTTGAAATACAATATATGAATACCTTGATCTCTTGTAACTGACAGAAACTTTTCGATGATAACTCGTTTTTTTAAATTTATAATATTTAAATATTTATTTGATTAAGTTGTTTTACAAGAAGAACATCTGCGTATCTGTTGAAGAATATAGTCTTCTCTTCTGTTACCAAAATTAAAATGGTTTACCATCTCTTATTAGTTGTCTAAAATGTGTATTTATGCAGCCTACCTTTTGGCTAAATATGAAAATATCGATGAGATTCGTGAAGCCTCCGCAATTTATGCAATACAACTAAGATGTATAACAGTTTTGATCACTAATATTACTAACAAAAAATCCTTAATATGATGTCTAGAGCAATTGAAGGACCTTTCAAAGGATAAGTGCTGCGACAATTTTAATAAGATCATTCAAAATTATTTACAATCAAATTGTAATTAAGTAAAGTTCCTTTACTTGAATTAAACCCGGACATTGCTTTTCACATTAATTTAAATAGCAGTTGCAATGCATAAATGGAAAGCCTTTTCAAGGTGTGTAAGACCATGTAATCAATAACCCAATAGCAATCAATATCGATTGACCTGGGGAACCAATGGGAATCCCAGTCAAGACGGAAGCACCTCCAATGATGAATTCTCCGCCTGTCATCGCTGGCACACAAAGGAGTGGATTGGATTGGAGTGAAGTGGAATGGATAGATCTAGACCCAGTTTGTCATAGTTCACTGACAAAAGCGACTGTTAATGCCCCTGAATAGAAGCTGCGGCAAGGCAATCAAATTGACAATCAATCCATCAATCAATAGCACATTGTCTGACCGATCGTCTATCACCGACCACCCGGACAAACTATGGCTTTTAAGACGGATTGTTTACACTTCTGATTCTGTCTATGTGGCCAGTTGTTACCTGTATTTTGGGGACAACTTAGCAGGTTTAGCTTCTGCTTAAACCGGTTAAATTTAATGTATTTTGAAAGTAATCCAGTAGATTTATGTATTTCTATTTGTTTTCGCTGTGGCTAGTTTCGGTTCACGAGCCGTCAAGAGTCGTGCAAGAAGCTGCATAAATAATTCTACCTAATTGGCCCAAGAGGCCGCTCCACTTAATCCCGAGTGGTGTCTCAATGAGTGCCGACACCACGCAAGACAGAAATTATTTTTGCCAGCAATGCGGTAATAAGTAATAAGTCTGCTCCAAGTACGCAGATACGCAGCTTCCGTATGCAAATGTCCATATCAGATGGCAAAAATTGTGGATACATTTTCCTCATGGCAGCATTCCATGATTAATGAGAATCCCACGACGATGGGGGGCACTCATCATCAAATCGAGAACGAATCTGTGTACATTTTCGACACACTTTATAGTGCCTTGATGAGCTGTGAATAATATAATTAAAACCTGATACTCTTCCCCCTTTTTGCCGACCTGACCAGTTTGATTGGCCTTGGCTGATGAATGAAATTGTCGAAAACCAAAAATTTGTTTATCATTTTTACAAATAATTTACGTTTATTTATTCGTACTTTACTTGGCAATTCAACAATAACTGAATACTTCGTTTTTCGATCTTTGTCTTTAGAACATCATTTGTCTCTTTGTACTTCGCTCTTTATGCTTTTGATCTTGTCTTGTTCTTGTAGGTCGTTTCTTTGATGGTTTCGTTCTAGTTATAAGATAGTTTAAATAGTTCGATAGTTTGGTAGTTGGATAGTTGGATAGTTCGATAGTGGGAATCAGTGCGTGATAATGTGTGCGTTTTGATTTGGGTATTTGTTAATGCTTGATTCGGTTTTGGATTTGATATTGATTGGTTTTTGAGTTGAAGATTGGTGCGTAGAGAGTTGATTGCGGGCAGGTGAGGAGTGGGAGAAGGAAGAGAAACGACAAAATAGGAGGAATTACTAGGATGTCGAGCATGTGTTAAATATAGTTAAGAGCTAGCTGCATCCTCTTAGTAGCGGCGCAGGCGGTAGAAGCGTCTTACATAGACTGGACGGCGGTACTGGTAGCCGGCCCTGCTGCTGAAGGTGTGTCCCACCAGCTGTTGCGGCTGTGGCACCACCACCTGCTGCTGGGCAACCGGGGCCAGGTACTGTGCCCTCTGGACGATCTGCTGCTGGACGGGCTGCTGGATGAAAGACTGGGCCACGGGACGGGCCACAGGACGAGCCAGAGGAGCGGGGGCGGCGAAGACGGGACGAGGAGCAGCGGCCACAGGACGAGGGGCAGGAGCAGCTGCCGCCGGTGCGGGCTCATCAATGTCAATGTACTCCGGCTCCGGAGTGGCAATGTCCTGGGGATTGGGTCCCTGGGTGGCGGAGTCGGGCAGCTGGGCTCCAGCAGCAAAGCCCACAAGGGCCAAGGCCAGCAGAATAAAGAATTTCTAGGGGAGAAGAAAAAAATATAGGTTATGATTATTTGGTTAGCTAAATAAATCCTTGACCTGCCTGAACTCATAAATTCCCTTAAGTACCTATAAGACTTCAATACTTGTATAATCAGATTTATTTACAGTGCTTAAGCAGCTTAAGTACCACTAAGCTACTATGATAATAATTAAAATGTATGTTCATTAAAAATAATCTAAACTAAGCTAAACCTAGTTTTGCAGGAAAAGTAATATACAAGTGAAATACTGAGATAGTACCTATAATTCCATAATCATTATTGAAATCACTTAAATAAACTTTGATGAACTAGAACCCTGTCTATTTTATTTACTCTGGGCAAAATCCCATTTTGCTAAGTCCAAATAAAGTAAAAATCGTCAATAGCACTAGAATGAACTTGAAAGTATTTCAAGTATATTAAAAAATAGCCAATGAGTGGGTTGGCTATTTTTAGAGCCTTCTGGACCATAATTATATGCGTGGCTCCGGCACGGGTGTGAAGTGAAACAAGTCCCGAGGAGCACTCGAAACGGGACGGCGCATTGATGAAGTCGTTTAGAACACTTGAGTTTGAGTTTGGGTTGGTGGGCACTTATAGAGTAAAATTTATTTTTGGTTTCTGATTTAAATAATTCCAGTTCACAATTCACTTTGATTTCATTTTCAGTTTATATCCTGCTTAAAGCTAAAGCAGATCACTAGGAATCATTATCCTTGTTCGCAGGATCACATACCATTTTTGGTTGTTTTGGTTTTTGGGTTTAACGAAATTTTCTCGAGCAAAGGCGATCGAGCAATTTACACTTAAGAAGTTCAAAGCACAAATGATGATGAGCTGGTCAGTGGGTATGAAATTTATACTATATCGCCGGTTCGGTCCGTCCGGTTCGGTTCAGTTCGGTACGTGGGTCTAAGAGAGTCTAAGCAGAGCGAAGGCGACCGCCAAAATCCAAAACCCGATGAGACACAAACCGCACACCGCGTTATAAATAAGGCACAAACAAAATATTAGCAGCAGAAGCGGCACAGTTCAGCACCAACAAAAACAATCCAAATCGAAATTTAAATTAAATGAAACGAATCGAGTTGAGTAGAATCGGCGACTAGAAGAGGCTGTTGGAAATGCCGATGGGTTTTGAGGAGCTGCCGGGACCCTTTGGCCAATCACTCGGGTGTCGTCACGAGCCATGACGCACAAGCAAGTCACATGCACTTAAACAGCAGAAATCTGCACTGTTAAAAAAGCATTCATCATAAGTCACCAAAATCATGATCAGGTATTTTAGTGTCTTGTATCTAAGAATACACTTAGTAAAAATACTACATTTTCTGAATATTTAATTTTTGGAAAGTTCAAGTTCGTTGCCTAAGTCTTTTGTTTTATCACACTTTTTCATTTTTTTTAAATTTATTAAAAAATATATTGTTGAGAACTAAAAAAACAATTTATTTTGTCATCAAATATTTAAAATAATTATTCTTTTTAAATTTGCACAACCAAAAAATGTTATAAAATTTGTATATTCTTTTAAGGTACAGTAAAGTATTTATGGTATAGTATTAAAGGATTATCGCTTAAGTCTTTTGATTTCGAACCTGCACGATATAAACAGTTTGAAGGATGAAAAGAAAGTCATCAGTTTTTTGCTGTTTCTTTTTTTCGTAGTTTAGCCAAGTCAAGGCTTACATATAAAAGAGCGACTGTTTTGAGCAGCAGGCGACCAGAGCTACGGATCCCAATCACTTTAAAGACAATCTATTTTTTGACCAATTATCGCAATTTTTTCATGTTCAATTTTGTAGATCACATTTTTTGCAAAAAAAATGGCAAAAATAAAAAAATTTCAGATTTAAATTGCAATGGATTGTAGATTAAACTACGAACTCAACGAGATATGACATTGCTCATTCCGACCTTAAATTAAAAAACCATAGCAAAAATTGTAATTTTTTAGGCTGATTTTCAATCGCAGAGTAACCAATGCATACAGCAATAGAGCAGCTTGCACATTTTTTATTAGTGTATGTTCTGATCTTAACGCCAATGCCTCTACGTAGCGCGTGCCTCAATTAAAGTTTGTTGCCTAAGTCTTTCGTTTCGTCTGCCGCTTGAAATGATTTGCATAATATTTTTTTAGAATAACATTCGTATACCAAAGTGGCTTTATTCCAGTTTGCTAGGTTATCATCCAAAACCTATCCAGGGGGAAGATTAGTCATCAAAAATGATAACCCAAGCTTGATCAAATGATTATTTTTTTTTATAGGCCAAACTTGATTTTATCATGTCAGTTTGTAGTTTGTTTGCCCATCAGCCCGCCGACCTGGTAGCCCTCGTCTTCATTCATTGGATTGTCTGCTGGCTTGATTGTTTGTATCTTCACTTGACCTCAGTGGCAACAATAAGCAAATTTAACGGCTTTTGGGCATACATCATTTCCGTTCCTCGTGCGTGTGTGTGGGGAAATACATTCACCTGCCACCGTCAAGTGAATGAAGCCACTTGAGCCAAAGATGCAGTGCCAATAAAAATGATTTGTTCGATACCAAGGTCGTCCCGAAAAGTTAAAGTGGCACAAACACAGGAAATGGTTAAGGTATTTTCGACTCAGACAGCAAATGGGCATTGTAAAGATGTTACCATAATTATAATTTTATAACTATCTACTTATAAGTCCACTTTAAAATGGTTCTGACCCGATCACATGTGACATCATTTTGGCTTCCTTTCACTTGCATTGATTGATGACATATTTGTCAACAACCAAACATGAAGCATACAACGCATATGCAGCATTTTTCATAATCTACCCAAAATAATAAGCAACGAAAAACAATTTTTTGTGTGTTTTTACGGTTATTAGGAAATTTAAAATGTAATTAATAATGATTTTGGTCCGCTGGCATCTTAGGTCTCACATTCATAAATTCGATCTGCCGAAAAACAGTCATTATTGGGTCCTTATGCCATTTGCGGCTTTTGTCTATTGAGTCAGCGATTTGACTTGCAAAATGTGTCATTTGCCTCTGAAAGGCATCGTTCTACCTACGGTTATAAGTCTATCGATCCGTAAATCAGCGATCAAATCAAGGGCGTGGCAGATTTATGCGGCAAACAATCGATTTTAATATAGTGCAGCTGTCTGTGCCTGTGCTAACATTTATATTAACGGACTCTTATTTATGTTAATGCCAATATATATTTCTTAAAATCCCCTGTTAAATATGTTTGTGATCTTTCCATCATCGTGTCTTGTGTGGACGGAGCCAAGGCGACTACTTTTGCCCAATTTGCATACAGGAACCAGATATCGCACCAAGTGAATCAAAAGCTATGAGCCGCCATAGGTTAAATGCCGGTAATCGAAGATTCTTTAAATTTATGTGCCTGTCGATAGGCAGAATCTAGTCGATTTCACGTGCCCCTCGAGACACGTTTTGTTGTGCCCTAAGCTTTAATACACATTAAGCATGCGACCTGTTGTCCGGCCGGGGTTAAATGCTCAAAAAAATACAGATTTCGTAGGCAGATGATTTCTAGTCGGGTGTTTACAGACATGCGATTTGAGCCACCTGATAAGGACCACAAAAGATGCCCACCCGAACTTTTTTGAATATTTTTATCACAGCCGCATTTGTTACTAAGACATTTTGTTTAGGGTAAGACACGCCTCGTTATCTGGTCGGCAGTTTGGTTTAGCATTTGAATAAGCGCGTGTGAATAAACAGAAAATAAAACATTTTTAGCGGTTCGTTTCGTTTCTTGACATCTTTCTTAGTAAAAATATATTTTTAGAGCTATTCGGAGCCCCAAAGAGATCGGATGTTGCTCAGCTGTAATATCATATTTAATTGACCTTGTCGAAACGGAGATTCTCAAGCTATTCTAGCTTTCACGTATTTTTTATCACGATTCTAGAGACAATGCTTCGTAAATAAAATAAAATTTTTTATTTGCAGAAGCTTCCGCACATTCACCGCGACGCCGACGAGGGGCATTATTTATATTCAATATTTTACGCAAAAAAACTATACCAAACAAGAAACGAGGCATGGCAAATATATCAACTTGAAGAGCCAATTGAAAACTTCGGCATGCTCTTGTCGAAAAAATATAGCAAAGTGATGAGCACAGTGATCCACAAAGTTGAGTTACCCTCTGCATGCGGTAGTGATGATGATCTAGGCTTAGAAATATTTATTGCAACACTTTTGGGATACTTCAAAGATTTATAACCGCCTCGATAAATTGTCTTAAAATAGCCCACAAATGCTAATGTTTAGTCTCGTTTCCGCCTCTGCATTTGACTGAAACAAATGTTTTTAGCAATTATAGTCGATCAGTCACTTGACCTACAGTTAGTTTGTGTCCAAAAGCGGAGAACTCTCTGGAATAGCAACAAGTTGTTTGGCGGATGCTTCGACTTGTTTGATGTTTACCCGGTCCAAGCTGATTCCCCGTTGATAATTCTGGTTCCAATCTATCCCGATCACCCGTTGTAGACAAACCGGCGGTCTGGGACACGCGCACAGTGAAAGCTGCCGAAGAAGAACTTTAGAATTTAATGGGAAGCATAAATTAGTTATTGAAATTAGCCAGAATTGACATAAAATAAAAGCCAAATGGTCACGAGAATCGAAAGGCGACTTCAGACTGAGAATAGCCACAAAGAGCTGCGTCTAATCATTGTTTAACTTAATAATTAGTTTTTTATTATATCCCCCTATAATTTGTTTCTCAACAACAGCAAACAATGAAATCGATGCCGCCGCGGGGCAAAAAGCATCAGCAAAAGTCGAGACGACGGTGGCTGTTAGCCCCAGCGCTTTAGCCACTTTTGGCACCTTTTTGGCCGGCTCGTGCCGCCAGCGAAGACATGTGAGCTGGCACTTTGAACTTTGACTTTGAATATAATTATGATCAATACAAATCGACGGGAAGCTCATGAAAGAGTCACGTCTACTTGTACAGACAAATCGTATAAGTCAATCGAGTAGTTCACACTCGTGGAACGAAAAACTATATCATATAGTCATTGCTTAGAAGTTAACATATCGTAATATCATTTTTTTAAGGAAAAAACGTTGATATTAAAACTTGTCACGAACCACTTAGTGGTTGTCATTCCCTAAAATCCTATAAAATAGGATCTGTAAACTTTCTAATTATTCATTCTCTCTCTTCTCGTCCCTGAAGTAAGACTTGAAAATGATTTTTCTTTTGAGAAAAGTGCAGTAACTGATATAAAGGAGGATACAAAGACTCCAGAAACTCAGTTTGCGCTCCGATATTGTATAGCGTGGATATTTTTATTTGGACTTCAATTGGAAGTTTACAAAAGCAACTTTAGAATGACGGTTTTGGTACTTCCCTGGACACAAATCCTATTTTTGATTGTCTGTATGTCTCTGTCATTTGATTTTAGTCGTGGGAATTTACCGCCCAAAACTGGGAAACCTAAACCTTCCGCCCGAGTAAAGGAGGTTACTATCCGAATAATATGTCCGCCCTTTATTAAGGGAGATGATCCCAACTGCGTGCATGTTAAATAAGTTTGTTTATGCTTCTGGAACAAAAATTAATTTATTCAAATACAGTAATTTAAGTCTTTAAATTACAGAAATTTAAGAACGAACTTAATTTATAAAGTTTCCATTTATAAAATACGTAAAACTATGTTGACTGTTTAATTTAAACAAATATGGCCAAATTTATGCAAATAAGTTTAGAATGTGGCCTGCATTTGGAACTGGTTGGATATAACTTAGGAATTGAGGTCAGATTCAACGATTCATTAGTAGAGCGTTAAAATGGCAATCCAGATAAGGAAAAAAAGTATAAAGCGGACATATAAGGAGACGGAAACACTTCCCCAATCGACATAACCAAGAATACTCTGCAAATCCGTTGTAATCGACTGGCAGTGAACTTGAATTCGGCATAATTGCCTCTATAAAACCGGCATTAAGCTTATATGGCTAATGGGATAGTTCGAACTTCAAAGCGATCAATCAGATTGATTTCATTCATGCTGATCTAGTTCGGTGACAAACCCACCCTGACACGAAGTCGAGCAACCTGTTCTAGCTCGGCAAAAAAAAAACCCAAAGAGAGGCGGTCGATTTAAATGTTTATAACTATAAGTATAAGCCATTCTAACCAATTTGCACAAATGCAAATGCTGATTATTATGGTCGGACGATGCTTAATGGCCATTAGAGGAACCTGTTTTTGTGGGGTTCTTTTTTTTCGGCGACTGTTTATCACGATTATTATCTTATCCCCATGCGGCAAATGATGATGAAGGTTCTTCGTGGCCCGCCACTCTGTCTGCCAGGTTTCTGTAAGATTCTGGGATCCATCTGCAGTGAGTCAACGGATCATCTGGCCATCTGCCAGATACAATACCCGAAATTTGCATGGGTCTTGTGTATCTGATGGTTTGACTAACTGCTATGACATTGTTTCGATTCGGATGCCGTTTGCTGCGCTTTGTGTGTGTGTAAGGCCAAGGTCGAAATTTGTAAAGAGATTGTAAACATTGGATTAACTGCTATGCGTCGAGTTGCCTTTTCAATCGGATTCGTTTATTTCTTTGTTGACTCTGCATTTGCATTTCTTAGCCAGCTTTTGGAGATCCATTGTGGCCACCGATGCTGCTGTTTTGACGTCCATTATGGATCGGTTTGACAAGTGCTGTCAGTGCTCAAAACAACGACCCACATGACTCGATGGCCCAGACTACTATATATTTTCGCCGTTAATTGCTTCACGCTGGCAAAGTCGCCAAGAGTTTGTTTAAAAAACATTCAGTCAGAAGCCGCATTAACTTAAAATTTGCGTGACAAAGCCGCCCTCTGGGTCTTAAGACTCGCCATCCGAATGAATGAATGAGTTTTCTGATTTCAGATCGATCTAGACCGCATCGAGCTTGAAGCTTTTTCTGCATCTTTTGATTAATGTTGGCATTTTGTTCGTTTTATAATTAAAATGTAATAGAGCGGGCAAAATGTGTTGCCGATGCCTTGGTATTATGCTAATCACTGGCGCCCACAGCGATCGTTGGAAATCTCTTTTGAGTCGAGTTTACACAGCCAATCATCCTTAACAAAGGCTAAGGCAATCTGTTTCTATTTTTAACATAGTATTTTTTTGGCCACGAGCCGACTGACTGACTGACTGCCTCTGGAACGGCCAAGCGAATAATTGCCAATTTTCGACTGCTAAACGATTTTGTTCACGCTCAAGAATGGCAGCGGTCAATCATAAATCGCCGCTGTCTGTGGGATTCGTGATTAATTCGCAACCACTTGAATGCTCGTCGGGAAGGTTAACAGTTGTTAAACATCTATTAGCAATTGATTAATTTACTGTTAATGCGATACAAGCATGCGATTGGAGGCGTGGGTCAGGGGTCTTCAAACAGAGGATGCCAGTCGGGGTAATATCGGTCAACTGGACGAGGAAGTTGTAGTAACAAATGGATTACGCGGAATTTTGCGTGCTTAGCCATAAATTGAGCCATCAGTTTTGAATTGAGGTGTATGCTGATTGCCGATATTTAAATGAATCAAACGCAAAAATAACAAATTCGTTTAAAAACACCAAAGACATTGAGGTAATCGAGGTTTGGGGTTAATAACGATTTATGTGTAGTTATGTGTTGCAAATTTTTAATATAGCCCGAAAGGCTTAAATACAGGTCACGCTGTACATATTTATAATAGTTAGTCAGGTAAATTAATTCTTGAGGCAAAAATCTGACTTCTGAATAACTATAAATATTTATTTAAAAACAGAAACGGGGTTGGAATGCTATTTTTATTTGAATCGTAGACGTTGCAATGATCACTTGAGCAGATTTAATTAAATCAGAAAGTAAACTATTTTTTTTGGTTTAATCATAATAGCATTATTTTTATCCAAACCTTCAATATAATTGAAAAATTAAACAACAGTACTTACATAAAAAAAGAAATGTCATTTGTTCATGGCCCAAATACATCTATAGACATATTTATGGTTACGGCTAACTGATAATTAATAATAATTAAGCAGCCTTAACAAAGTCCTCCAAACAAAACTGTCGTTAAGCTATTTTTAATATTTAATTAACAGGCGTTTATGGTTTTAATTGGCTGACAAAATGACTATAATAAAGCTTATCTCTATAATCATCAATAAAAAGCGTGAAAAAGCTCCGAAATATCTTGGGGGGTCTATGATTAAACTAAGCTTTAACTAAGCTAAGGTAAACACCTTAAATTCATAAAAAGTAGGCTATACAAATTTTATAAATATAAGCTCGACCTAAGTAGGTTTTTTTGAAAATTATAAAGCCCAACTTTGTGCTGAATAGTAGTATATCTTCAAGCGAACTTAGCACTCAAAGCTTCATGCGTGAGTGGTTTTCGAAGCTGGTTTTTTTCACTGAGCCACTGAACCACTCGAGCACCGCTGACGGGTTGATTCATATTTCTTGGCCGGCGCCGTCTACACAAATCATCGTACGCAATGTTTGAAAACGTTCGAGTGCGTTGCCGTTTTACAATTGAACAGTTATGAGCCAAGACAGCAAAAAGATGAAATCGCTCGAAGAATAGAAAAAATAAACGGAAACTGTGCCAAGGGCAATTTCGCCTGTGATTGATTTACAAAGGGGGCTAACGTAACGCAACGCATCGCAAAAGGCGGACCACGTTGCGTATGCGCAATATTTTTTGGCAGCTCGGGAACAGGTGGTAATTTTTTCTTCGGTTTTACTGCTTTGGCACGGGCATAAATCAGCTGATGACTTTATTGTATGTCCATTAAGTCATAATTATAATATGTTCATTAATATTTTCGATTAGCCCCTGTCGGAATTATTTTTGAGGAATTAATTGGAAATTTCAGATGAGCGATGAAGAAGCCGGCTGTTAAGAATTTTGCCTTTGGGTAAAAATAAAATTGTTTTTGTATTTAGAATGATTTAATATTTATATACTACTCGCATTTACATTTGCGTGTTGGCCTGATGGAGGCAGCGGTATATTAATAGATTGTTTGGGAAATTTACACCCGGATGGAATCGGATGGAATTAGAATCAGAGTCAGAATTCGAATCGTCATGACACAGAAAATTATCTAGGGTCAGCTGCTGATTCTTTTTGGGGCCTAGTACTCCCATTTGTAGCGCTGTAATTTACATCGCATAATTATCGAAGCGGGGCAAACAATGCGTGGCGAATCTCTTGTCATGCCCAATCTTTTCAAGTGCCGTGCCGTAATCATAAATCACGCAAAAAGCTAAGTCTAAGTGCAGCTGCAGATCCGATGCCTGACAACATAAATCACACCCAAGCCGCTCGTTAAGACGTTAATCAAATGGCTCAGATCGAGCTGTGAGTGAGGCTTAGGGCGCCCCCGTGTCCAGCGAAATTGAAGGCCGTTTTGGTGTATGTGGCTTATGTAATTAGTGGCAAAGTACCCGCCTGCAAACCCCTCTCACAGACAAAAAAAAAACCCTATTCGAAAATCGTTGCACAACCCGCAGTTGCAGTTGCAGTTTTCGGTTTTCAGCTTTTTTCCCCCTCTTGTTTATCTTTATTTTTGGGCAACCTAATGAAGTTGCCACGGCTAACTCAATTTATTGACTAAGCCAACTGGCAGATTGACTAAATGACTGATGAACCTGGCCACTGACGACAGCCGGTGGGAATTGAGTCGTCGCCAATTGCCGATCATCGATCGACTCGCTCATATTTATTTTGGCTCCGCCGGCACCTTGAGTGTCCCATGTATGGATGCAATGTCTGTGACTATGCCAGTTGCAATCATTATGGGCTCTCATCGATATTAGGTATATATCTATCTGTCTATATATATATATATATGGTCGTTATGGGTTTATAGTTATTGCAAACAAAGCCGGCCTGAGAACGTTTCACGGCTGCTTGAGAATCTCGGAATTTCCGCCTCTGATTTATGGCGCCCCCAGGTTGATTGATTTGACCTACCAACTGACCACCACCGGTCCACCAACAATGCACCACTGGGTGGTGTCTGGGGACTGCACTTGAACCACTGGTATTTCGGCTAGGCCATCTGCCTGCACTGCAACAAAATTGGGAGTTTTAAAGTAAACATGAAAAAAGATAGATGGCTTAAAAAATATTTTTATAAACGTATAGAACCACTTGTCAAATCTTTTAATTCTTTAAAAATAAAATATATATTTTTTTGGATCTGTAAATTTGTTAACTGCTTTATCAAAGATGATGTTAATTTTTCCCATGTAATGCCTGTCAAAAGTGACGCCCCAGAAGGTCGTTTTGGAAGCTGGGACATTGACCCACCAGCGAATCCCCCGAGTGATTGACATATCCAGCTTTGACTTTGGCTTTTTTGAGATTTGTTTTTATTTGGAAAAATATTTGAGTGGTTGGGGTTTTCAGGGGGTCCAAGGGTGGCTCACAGGACAGTGGTTTTGAGTACTTTTCTAGAAGGTAAATGGTCTGGCAGGCTTGTTGTAGTTGTAGCCATCGGGTCCCAGGGAACCCGCCTCATCGCCACCACTGGTGGGCGGTGGTCCGTACTCCTGGGTGGGTGGAGCAGGTGGTGCTGGTGGGCGTGGCTGGTAGGTGGGTCCTGGAGCAGGTGCAGGTGGTGCTGGGGGCCGTGGTTGATAGGTGGGTCCTGGGGCGGGTGCTGGTGGTGCTGGAGGGCGTGGCTGGTAGGTTGGTGCAGGTGGTGCCGGAGGACTTGGTGGACGTGGCTGATAAGTGGGTCCTGGGGCAGGTGCTGGTGGTGCAGGTGCTGGTGGGCGTGGCTGGTAAGTAGGTGCTGGCGGTGCCGGTGGGCGTGGCTGATAGGTGGGTCCTGCTGGTGGAGCAGGCGGCGACGGTGGTGGTCCGTATTCCGGCACTGGAGCAGTTGGCTGCGGTTGAGCCGGGGTCACCTCATTGTCGCCAGGAGGCGGCAGGTACTCAGCTCCTGGCTGTGGGCGTGGTGCTGGAGGACTGGGTGGCTGGGGGCGTGGTGGAGCTGGAGGAGAAGGTCCAGGTGGTGGTGGTCCGTATCCTGGGGTGGGCTGTGGCCTTGGCGGAGGTGGTGGTGGGGGTGGTCCATATCCTGGCGTGGGTTGTGGCCTTGGCGGAGGTGGTGGTGGTGGGGGTCCATAGCCAGGAGTTGGCTGAGGTCTTGGTGGCGGCGCTGGTGGTGGAGGACCGTATCCTGGAGTAGGCTGTGGCCTCGGTGGTGGTGGTGGTGAAGGCGGCTGCGGACGCGAGGGAGTGGGACGTGGCTTAGGCTGCTCTGGAGGCAGGTACTCCGGTCCAGGCTGCGGGGATGGTGGCTGAGGCTTTGGAGGTCCATAGGATGGAGCAGGTGCCGAGGGAGTGGGCTGCGGTGGAGGACGAGGTGGCTGCGTCTGCGGGGGTCCATAAGATGGAGACGGAGCTGGAGCCGAAGGAGTGGGCTGCGGTGGAGGACGTGGTGGTTGCGTCTGCGGTGGTCCATAGGATGGCGATGGAGCCGGAGCCGAGGGAGTTGGCTGTGGTGGAGGACGAGGTGGCTGCGTCTGAGGAGGTCCGTAGGAAGGACCAGGAGCCGTGGGAGTGGGCTGCGGTGGTGGTGGACGAGGTGGTTGTGTCTGGGGAGGACCATAAGATGGAGACGGGGCCGAAGGAGCAGGTCCTGACCCTATTCCCGAATCCTCAATGCCATTTCCAGAGCCCGGAGGCGGAAAAGGCACCGACGGCTGCTTGTAGTGATAGCCATCCTCCTGGAGATCCGTGTCCAGGTGGGAGACATCCGCGTGGACGCCCGCCGCCAAGAGCAGGGCCACCAGAGGCAGGAAACAGCGCTGGAAGATAACTGAGATGAAACCGGAGGCATTTTCCCGACTGCCAGCGAACTCACCATTTCTGCTAAGATGCGAAGCAAACGCGGTTTTTCCGAGTTTTCCTAAAACACAAAACCACTCAGCGAATCGAATTATTACCGGTTTCGCAGACGGAACCGCACACGAGTTTTATTTTTCCACGGGGGCCTTTTTTCCCAGCCGATGCCGATGCGACGTCTTCGTTGCAAAATCAGAAATCGAATGATGCCCAAATGTTCTCCCTTGGCGCATTTATACCGGCCTGGCCAAGAGCAGCCCCTAAGTTGGCTAAGTCGTCTCCGACGCTTCAGTCTCAGTTAGATGCCGAAGTTTTGAGTCAGCCAGACGAATACGAATACGAGTTTTGGCTCAATCGGGCTCAGTCGTCATCGTCGTGATGCTGCAACCTTTGATGTGGATGTAGCCACAGGTGAGGACAGAGATACTGTATCTATATCTGTAACTGGTAATCGGCGACGTTTGTAAGTCAATAACAGCGCGTACTAGTTAGTTTTTTTTTAGTCTTGAGTGCCTCCAACCAGGAACCAAATGGGGGAATTTCTGGCCGGGTTTATGTGTTTGGCTAATTAGGTCCGATGGAAGCCGACAGAATTCACACCAACTAGCTACGTGGGCGGATGATTAATGTGCGAATATCTTTCGAAAAACGTTACTTACCGAACCAAACACATATGGCCAATATCTGTTAGAATCGTGCTTACATAATTGGCCCCTTCCCGTTTACTACTTCGATGTTTATTGACTTTGCAAGCTTAACAATCGACATTCTCCAGTTGGCCAATAAAATAAAATATTATGCCCATATCAATTAGTTAATAAGCCAAGTGACCAAGCGCGTAATACGCGGCGTATGCGCGATGTGGCTATGAAAATTAATAGACGGATTTTTTAATTAACTTTGCATTTTTATTGGTTTCATGTTGGCTCCGGGCATCTTTGGTCTACGATTCCACGGAGCCTCCGATTAAGTCGATCTTTATGCTAGCTGCGATCGATTGAGAAGCATTTACAAATTGATTCGGGGTGTTTCCATTCTTAAATCTCATGCGTAAAACTGCGATTACTTATGATTACGTTTTTGGCACAACATAACAAAGTTTTTGGGAATTTATTTATTGCTCTTAAACTAAACTTCATTCTATATGTCTATATTAGCTAAGTTCGTTTTAAAAATTATAAATTTACTCACAATTCCACTAGGTTGTTGTTTTGATTTATCTGTTTAACATTTGTTGCTGCTGGTGAATTATTATGTATTTGCTTATTCGTTTTACTTGACGACTGTTTAGTGTGTGTTTTTTCAGTGTTCCAATTCGTGTGTTTACCAAAAAGAGTTAATATTAGTTAGTTATTTTAGGTGTTAATGCTGCTCAAGCAAGTATCGTTTAGTGTTCTTGAATTATTAAAATCTAAAAATCCGCATTAATTGTGGCAATTTTTCATTGTTCTCCTCTGTGTCAATATCTCGTTTGCTTATTATTGTTGCGTTTGCAATGCTGTTAACCATTTCAATCAGCCCCCGGCTGCTCCAAGTCCTCACTAGCTTACTTTCCCCTGTAAATCTCGATGATCCGGTCCTGATCCACGTACTCGAAAATATGCGGGGCATCCATCAGAATGCCCACCGTTCCGGCCGTGGTCACAATGAAGAAGATGTACAGCTGCAAGCGATCGATCACCATGGCCACGTATTTCCAGTCTTCGCGGGTCTAAAGATTGGATGGATTATCATAAGGTAAGTAGAAAAATGTTAGTTTAAGTTGCACATTTTTTAAAGTTACTTGAGTTTTTATTTGTCTCTGAAAATAGTATTTATTCATTATAAAAGGACCTCCTTCAGTTCCTAACTTTAAATATTTCGAAGTAAATCATTTTTTCCTCTAATGATTCTTAAACACGGTGGCTCTTTATATTTTCTTACCATGATATGATTAAATATAAGTTAAAAGATTTATTCTGAATAAATTATTTGACTATGTTTCTAAATAGGAAATTATCTTTTCTAATATTATAGTTCTCCAAGATCCCCATCTCACCTGAATATAGAGATCCTCGTTCCGCAAGTGCTCGGCGATGAACTCCACGGCCTCGGTGGCCTTGCTGGCCTCCGGGGAGAGCAGGATGGAGTCGGAGGACTCGCTCTCCCGGCGACACCCGTCGCCCAGGCCCAGCTCCCCGCCGCTGTTGACCTTGCGGTTGATCTTGCAGTTGGGGTGGTGCAGGTCGGACAGCTCCATGACCTCCATCTTGGACTGCTTGCCCCCGATGGCGCTGATATGCTTGGGCAGCTCGGCCGGCGAGCCGTAGGAGGGATGGGGATGGGCGGGCATGCTCATGCCGGGCATCTCCATCATCCAGCGCAGACGGGTCTTCCGGGGGCGCTTCATGAAGAGGAAGGCGGGCAGGTAGTGCAGGAAGATGGAGCGGATGTACATGGGCATGCGGTGGGTGCGCGGCCCCCGGAAGTTCCAGTTAATGATGATCACGGTCACCAGGATGGACACCGTGTTCATGATGAAGGTGAACAGCAGATACTTGGCGATCAGCGGCAGCACCAGCGACGTCGGCGGCAGAATCTTTGACACCAGCAGCAGGAACACAACCAGTGACAGCAAAATGCTAATTCCGAGCGTAACCTGGGGACACAAATCGTTAGTAACCGATCAGGTTAAAGCCTTGACCCCACCCGTCACCCAAGCAATACGCGATCCACACACTGAGGGAAAAAACGTCGCCTTACTGGTTAGTATAAGCTGGAAATCATACTTCTTTACTCGAAGCAAGTAAATTAAATTACCAAAAACACTTTAGCTTTAAATAACATTCCAGAAAACAAGCATCATCATCACTAATTAAAAATATTTTTTTTAAGATACATCGAAATATTAACCGCAGTGGCGTAACGAATTGGATCTGATCAATCTTGTGTTTTTGGAATTGGTCAAATTAAAAACCAGATGTTGAAGTTCTGTTAATTAATGTTATTAATGAAGATTCTTTGATCATTAATTAAATCAAAAACTAAAGGTTTGACAAGCCCTAGGCCAGTTAGGAATATTTAAGATATATTTAAGTGTAGTCCCCACCCTTGTTAGACTATACCCTCTATAAACGAGATTCGGTCATCGATCGATGAGCGTTATCTTACCTTTTCGCCGGCCTCGGCTGGCAGGTAAAATACCAAAACGCAGAGGAACGAAATGAGCACAGTGGGCAGAATCAAATTCACAGTGTAGAAGAGAGTCTTCCGCCGTATGATGATGTAGAAAGTGATGTCAGTTTCCGTGGGATGGTTGCTGTCGCCCTCGTAGACGTTCAGATAGGCAGGCACCTCTATAATGTCCCAGGTGCCCGACTTCCAGTAATCCGATAGATCCACAAAGTTCTTGTTGTTGTACAGGGCCAGAGACACCTGATCCCCATTAAAGGTCCACGATCCGAACTTCATGATGCAGGTCTGCTGATCGAAGGGGAAGTAGGTAACATCGATGGTGCAGGAGCTCTGGTAAATGGCCGGAGGAACCCAGAGAACCTCTCCCGTTGGATAGATCAGCACGTTGGACTTGTAGCGCACCTCGTAGTTGCCATCGGCACTGTCGGCGGAAAAATATGGTATTACTATATGATATAATATGGAGTATTACGAGGAAAGCTCCGACTTTCGCCTACGGTATCTATATATATTTTTTGTCTTTATTAGTGTACAGAGTTTTGGAGTTGATGGGTTAGCTAGAATATGGCCATTTACTCACTTATTGAAGAGCACTATGTCCGGCTTCCAAACCTTGTCGGGGGGCAGACGCAAAACCCCGATGCCGCCGTAGTCGGCCTCATCCCACTGCAGCTGGTAGTCGTACCAAACCAAACGTAACCAAACGTTTGATTTCATAATTTGATTTTTCTCATTCTTGATCGGTTTTCGATTTTCGGTTTTTTTTTTCGGGAATTCGTTTTTTGATTGTGATCAGATGGTGGTGGTTTGGTGGTTGGTTGGTGGTTTGGTTGGTTGGTTGGTGGTTTAGTTGGTTGGTTGGTGGTGTGAGAGAACGGTACGAAGTACGGAGTACGGGTACGATTTGCATTTGAGATTCGAAACGAATCAAAATCGAATCGAATATTTGGCGTACACAATCGAGAAATCGAGAGAGAGCGGGTGGGAAGGTAGTTAAGACATTATTTCGCATGTGGCTTTACTTTGGTAAGTTAGTTAGTTAGTTGGTTAGTTTGTTTTGCTTGTTTAAACTTAATTGTTTAGGGTTAGTATTTGTATTTTGTATTTGATTTACTAGCATCAAGTTCACTACAAACATACAAAGTCAAGACAACGTGTACGTAATTATTTACAAAGCATAACCGAAACTGAAAACTTTGGATGCCCCCCTCCTCCCGCCCCCTTCTTCTAACGGGAGGGGGCGTGGCCGAGGGAGCAGTTAATGCATGTGTGTGTGTGTCTGTGTGTGGGTGTTGCTGACTGTTAATGGGCGCGTGTGTGTTTTTGTATGTTTGTATGATGCTTTTTTTTCAGATGGACGATTATGACAGCAACGAAACTGAAGAATTTGTTAGGAACAGAACTCGAAAACACATTTACACTCTACGAATGTTAGTTATGATTTTTGTTTTTCTTTTATTAGCATAATCTTATTGTTATTATTCATTTGGTTTTTTGTTTGACAAATTGATTTTGAGAACACTTACGACATTGATTAGCTGTACGAACGCCAAACCAAATCTTACTCCAACTTTTTGTGTCATATTCTGTACGGGTCGTATGAGTTTATTGTAGCCTCGAAAGAGGTCACGCACCAAGCGCTCTTCATCTTCGGATGCACTGACTAAAAAACACAACGGAAAACGGAAACGGAAGCGAACGCAAAAGAACGCAAGAGAGTACACAAACATTCGGGAATCGGGGATCGGGGGATATAGGTTTAATCAGAACATAATGGTGGGCACACAAATAACACATGGGGTTCCAAAGGCAAAAGTAATGAAAGAAAATACAGAGAAACAAAGAAACGAACGGATGAGCAAAGTTGTTGTATTCTTTGTTTAAGTTTTTCTTGTTGTTCTTTTTTTTAGATTTTATTTTGAATGGGTTCTTGGGATGATTTAGCTTATAGACAGATAGAGTTAGACAGAGACAGAGCGAGAGACAGAGAGAGAGAGAAAGAGTGAAAGAGAGAGACTGAGAGAGATAGACAGATAGGAC